GTCAAGTTTTTCCAGTTTTATAATTTTCCTTGGAGTTTAGCTTCCAAAGAAGTTTGTGAATTAGATTAAAAAATGCTGTGTTGACTGTAGGCCGTCTTGTTGACAGGCGTCGGCAGCTTTGTATACGATCGAGCTGAAGCACGGGGAGTTTACGTGGTACGTGAAGAAGAAAGAGAAACACTTTCATGACCTTCACAAAGACCTGAAGTTATACAAGAGGCTCACACGGCTTCATCTATCCCGAGGGTAAAACTTTGGTTTTAGTCTTTCATTCTACTTCTTAAACTTTTAACCAGAAACTTTCTGACTGATGTAAAGATCCGTCTTTTTACAGAAACACAATAAAAAGAAGAAGTACAATGCCAAATACGGAGATGGCAGAGATACCAGAGTTCCCCCAGGGAGAAGGGACGAGCCAAAGGGGAGACTACGTTTCCAGTCTGAGGGTTTGTCTCCCAGCTCGATTTCATTGAATATACTTTCATGTTGACCTTCAGTTATTGATGTTTTGTTGGTTTTGTTTCAGACAAAACTTGAAGATTACTTGAACAGCCTGCTGAAGGTGCCGATGTACAGGAGCTGCCACGACATGGTAATGCCAGCTGAAACTGATTTGAAGTGATGATCATATCCTGCTACTTAACAACTCTGTAACATTTCAGTTTGTTCTCTGGTTTTCCATCTTAAAATGTTTCGGTGTATGTTTTAGACTTCGACTAGGCTAGAGATATGTAGTGTTCATCTTTTAGAACTGTCTCCTGCTAAGAGCATAAACCAGGGGTCTTCAAGCTTTTCCAGTTCAAGGACCCCCAAACTGATGGGTAGATCGAACGCGGACCCCCTAATTACATATATTGATGAAATTGTCTTATACCAAACTGGTCCTATAGTCACTCTGTTACAGATGGATTAATGTAATGAAAGTAATTTCTCCCTGGGATTATTAAAGTATTTCTGATTCCTGGTTGATGGGACAGGTGTTGTGAATGAAACAGTGCCTAACCTGAAAGAGCTCCTGTGTGTCGCTGAATGTGTGCATTGATGACTGAAAGACATCTTCTGCCTCCATTTATCTGTTTACTACAGTGTGTTGAATTCATGTTGATGTGTATTTAAAGACATTTCAATTAGTGGAAAAAATTTCAGGGAGGAATATAAAAACTTAAGCGACCCCCATGCAGTAGCTCCGTTGACCCCCTAGGGGGTTGCGGACCCCCTGTTGAAGACCTCCGGCATAAACTATAAAACTATGGGAGGCGATAGGGACGTTGAATGCAGGAGTTTGCCCTGCAACTGAAGGGTTGTCGGTTCAAACCCCACCTCCGACTTTCATTATCATTGTGTCTTTGGGCAAAACACTTCCCCCAATTTTACTGATGGTGGTCAGAGGGTCCGGTGGTGCCTGGGTGTTTGGCAGCCTAGCTTCTCTCAGTGAGCCCCAGGACAGCTGTGGCTACACTGTAGCTTGCCCCCATCAGTTTGTCAGTGAATGGCTGAATGACTGAATAAAGTGCTGTAGAGTCCCCTGACTTAAAAGTACAGGCCGTTTACTAATTAGCTTTCCTTAAGTGGAAGGCTTCTGATTTCAGCTTTTATTCTAGACTGAAATGACCTTTTCTTTTCTTCCTTTCAGATGGAGTTCATAGCTGCCAGTCAGCTTTCCTTCATTCATGATTTAGGACCAAAAGGCTTGTAAGTCCATTTAATTAACAGACATAAACATTTGAAAGCGACGATCTTTGCGTCTTTTATGCAGAGTTTTCAATAGGCTAACATCTGCTTTTACCGAATCAGAATCTTAACTGTTTGTTTACTTGTTGTCTATTTGCTTGCTGATGCTTTCAGGGAAGGAATGGTGCTAAAGCGTTCTGGCGGCCATCGTATTCCTGGGTTGAACTGCTGTGGTCGAAGTAGATTATGCTACCGCTGGTCCAAACGGTACACCTAAACACACACAGATCCTCTTTCTCTCTTAGAAGAGTGCGAGGTGTGATGTACAGCTGTTGTGCAGCTTTAATATATTTATTTCCCGCCCCTACATGAGCAAAGTTTATCTTGAAGAATTTGGGATATGATCAAATTAGCGTTTCCCTCATTTAGAGCAATTGTAATGTTTTCAAACTAATTCACAATGCAAATCCATGAGCTGTATAAACATTTCTTTAGCCAGATAATGTTTTATTAGATGATTTGCTTAATCAGGAACCATTAACCTTTAGTTAACTGATAACTTTACTTTCTTTGAGTGCGCTAGCTGCTAGCTGTCCCATAAAGTTACTTTTGGTAATCAAAATGTAATGAGAATGAGAGAAAACACATGAACGTTAACCTTATATCAGTGTTTTTATCCCTTGATTAAAATCTTATTTTAGCTTTATAGACAGAAGGTCAGACATGTTTGCATATCGTACCATGAGGTCCATCTTGTTAGCTTGATTGACTTTATTGATCTCACAGTGGAGAAATGTACTTGTTACATCAGCTCAAATAGTCAAAGGTGAAGAAGAATGTGCCAAAGGAAGAAAAAGTATAATATAGTGTATATACAGTGCGTCCACATATGACAGCTTTTTTTTTTAATAGAAGGATTATTATACAGGGTTATTGCACAGGGTGCCTACATTGGTATTTATATACAAAAAAAAATTGTCAAATAAACGAATTGTTTATCTAGAAACTCTCCCTGACTTGTGAAAGACCTGTACCTCTGCTCTTCTCCGTTTGGAGAGCATGAGTTTTCTCCAGCATATAGTGGAGCTCCCCTTCTGGATGTTTAGGACCTCCTCCCTGATGCCATATCCCATCCTGGGTGGTGGAGCTCCTCTTCTGGATGTTTAGGACCTCCTTCCTGGTGCCATATCCCATCCTGGATGGTGGAGCTCCTCTTCTGGATGTTGGAGCTCCTCTTCTGGATGTTTAGGACCTCCTCCCTGATGCCATATCCCATCCTGGGTGGTGGAGCTCCTCTTCTGGATGTTTAGGACCTCCTCCCTGGTGCCATATCCTCTCCTGGATGGTGGAGCTCCCTTACTGTGTGTTTGTGATTCCGTCCTGAATGTTTTGGACCCCTCCTAGATGTCATATCTCCCCCTGGACGTTGGGGCTTCCCTACTTGATATTTGTTATTTCTTCCTGGATTGTTCGGATCACCTCCTGGATGTTTGTGATCCCCTTATCCTCTCTTGCACCCAAATATTGGGTAAGAGGTCTGAAAAGCAATGGTTTATGGCCAAACATTTGCTCAAAGACACAAACTTGGTTTCCCATTGAAGAGTCCTTGGGTTTCCCTCATAAGTTATAAGGTTCGGTCATTAAGAGTTTATTTAGAGAACCTTTTTTTGTACGATGCGCTTTGCTTTCCTGTCAGATTTTTGCTGAAACTCTGATTCCTTTTTCATGAATTAAAACCTAAGGAAAAAGTTTAATATGAATATCTCTATATGTGCTCAGGTGGCTGGTGGTGAAAGACTCTTTCCTGATGTACATGAAACCAGACTCCGGTGCCATCGCCTCTGTGATGCTTTTCGATAAAGAGTTCAACATCAAAATGGACTCCAAGTACACTGAAACCAAGCATGGCATCCGCATCGACAGCCTCTCCAGGTTTGTAAACGGCGCCTCTTAAAATAAACACCCATTGTGTTCACATCTTCATCCCTGTTTGCCTTAAATTCAAACTGCGGGTGTTTGTTATCAGGTCCTTGGTGTTGAAGTGCTCTAGCTACAGACAAGCCCTCTGGTGGGGTAAGTCCATTGAAGAGTTTTCCCAAAAGTACGGCTCCGCCTTCCTCAAAGACCATCGCTTTGGATCCTTCGCCAGAGAGGAGGAGAACATCCTAGCAAAATGGTAACCATGGCAGTTACTGTAGCTTTCACTGTTGCTGCAATGGCAATGTAAAAAAATAGGTTTTAACCCCTTTTAGTAAAATTATTTAGCATTATAGTTAGCGAAGAACACATTTTGTAAGTGGAGATTTGAAAAAAACACATTTTGTAAGTTAAAATATAAAGGAAGCGATTAAAAAAATCCTCAAAAAAGCAGTTTCTTCCCTTATTTTAGGGAAGGAAGTGCTTCTTGTAAGTGTTGTCATAAAATATGATTTTAATCTTGCAACTTTAGGACTTTATTCTCTTGATATTATGAATTTATTCTCGTAATTTTATGATTATTCAGATGACTTTATTCTCATAATATTACTATATTCTCGTAATATTGTGCCTTATTCTCGTAATTTTACGACTTTAGTCTCATAATTTTATGACTTAATTGTCGTAATGTTACGACTTTATTCTCGAAATAGAAAAAAAAGCAAATCTCCAGCTATCGTAGCTTTGGGCTTCAAGGCAGGAGAATGTTATCTTTGAAAAGAGTGCAGTTTAAGAAAATATAAAATCAATTTGAAGACAAAAATTATTTGAAATAACAAAATATGAGAAAAGAGCAGAATTACTCTTAAAACCTGTTTTTTTATTTAAACTTTTTCAGAGTTTCATTTTAAATGAGTTTTTTTTTCAAACTCAATAGTCTTGTAGATTATAAAGTTTGTATTAAATCATTTGAGTTAGTGCTGTACTGCAATAGTATAAAAGTGAGTCTCAGGAAACACTTTTACTATGTGGAAAAAGAAAAATTTTTTTTTTTTGGAAAAACCTATTCTTGATTTTAAAATAGTGTTCTTTAGAATGAAGGTTTGGTTTGTCCGTGTGCTGTAAACTGATCCAGTTTGGAGAAGTCTAGACGACATCTGGTCCAGCTGGCAGAGTCCGTTTTCAGGTCTTAGTTTTCGCCATTTCTCAGCGAAGGCCCAGTTTTACGTTTGTGTCTGTAGGATGGTAGATTTGCATTTTTGTGAATCTATATCTGATGGTTTGTGTTTCTTACAGTCAGGGATGAAAGTTGCAGTTGGGTTTAATGGATGTGTCTTATCGGTGAGGATCCTCCTAGAGATGTGTATGTCTGGATGTTGTAACCCGACACAGAGAGAGGGAAAGTGACACTCAGCTGCTCATCACCTGCTTGCCTGGTGGGCAACTCTATACTGTCTGTGTGACGGCCTGAGTGTGTCTCTAAAGGCCTAATATGTTCACACACACCTGAGCCTGATTCAGTAGTGCTCACTCTCTGGTATTAATATATATATTATTATTTTTTCCAGTTTTACATCACTTAGGATAATTAAAATACCAATATTTAGAATTCTGGTCCATTTGAACTGCTGCATATTACAAAAATTGTTGACAACACAACCCAAATAATTTGATCTATGGGACTTAGATCCGTCCTTGCTTTGTGTTTTACTCCACGACTTTGGCTTTATGGTCTTTAAGTTGTTTTGCAACTAATTTATAAATGCTTTCATAGTCCTTGTCCATTTAGGACCTCCTTGTGCATGGAGTTTAAATTTTTCCCCCCCCCTGATGGCATCTATTTAGTAAAGTCCCATGCTTCACCTTTGGGAGGCTGCTCTCAGCCTATCAGGCTTCCCCATTGTTCCAAGTATTGCTGCTCATTAAGACCAAATGCTTCAGCTGTTTTTGCTGCTTTTGTATGAAGTAAGTTTTCTTCCATTATTGTTGCAAGTTTATTACTTGTTTAGTTAAAGGAAATTTGAAAAAACTAATGAAAATTTGGAGAAAAAAAAACTCTATCCAGGAATGAAAATTTAGAAAACATTTTCATCAATTAAAGGTTTTTAAAGGAACTTTGCTGTGTACTTGGCATTTTTATCTGTTTTTTTATGTATTTTTTCAGTAATTTTGCTATCTTATATTTCAAAATATACTTTTTTTCAAATGTAATTGAAAATATGTTTTTATATATATGATATATTATTTTCACATTTCTGTTCGTCTGATTCAGTGTTATGAGCATTTTTTTTTTTTTACATAAAAGTTTAATCACATTCTCTTCACTTGTGAGCGCAGGCTTCGCTCTGGAGTGAGGAGCAAGGAAGCATTTCTATATTTTCTGCTCGACATTAGCAACAATATTTTTATTGGTAGGCATTTGCAGCAGAGGAGAATGTTTGCTTTGGGCTTGTAGTGAAGAGCAATTTGTTTTTGAACATCAAAACTAAATAAGAAATACAAATTTTTGGAAAAAAAGATTTAAAAAATTGTGTTAAATGTTCAGAAAAAATAAATAAAGAAAATAACCTAAGAATAAATGAAATAATGACATGTTAGAAAACAGCAAAGTTACATTTCTGGATTTTGTTTTAACAATTCAGGTTACAAAATGTGTTTTTCTAAATTTCAGTTTTAAAAACATGTTCTCTGCTTGCAACAATAATGGAACAAAATTGACTCCATACTTCAGGAGTAATGGCTTCTTCTTCTCTGAGCGGCCTTTCAGCCTCTGTGAGGAATGGTTCTAGTCTGCATAATGACCCAATATGACCAATTTTTCACAATGTTTTTGCTTTTGTTTGTTCGGAATTTCTTAATGTTGAGAACAAAGACTTAAATTTAGGCATGAAATGTTAAGAAGGTTGGAACAAAAATGGCTATCCTTTAAGTACTGAGGCAGGAACAGAAAAAGTAAGGTTGGTTTGAAATATCCTGAATCTGGGACTAAAATTTGGAGCATTTTGCTACAAAAGTGGAAACAGATTAAATTAAATTATGGTAGAAAATGTTTTGATGTGTGTGTGTTTGTTTTTTTAGAGGTTATATTCAAATATAGTGGTGTGCTTCTGTGTAATTTGAATTTTGTGAATTAATCAATCAGAAGTATACAGACCATGACATCATTAGCTGGAAATTGTAGCTTTATAAACTCTTATCTTGCCACTACAAAGTTTCTCTGATTTGCTCCCTGAGGCTCTCAGATCATTACCACCCATTCAGAGAAGTTTGTCTTTGTCCTCTGCAGGTATGTAAATGGTAAAACCTACATGGAGGACGTGGCTGACGCTCTGGAAGCGGCCAAAGAGGAAATCTTCATCACAGACTGGTGGTGAGCGTTTAACCACAGCTTCCTCCCTTCAGGCAGAGCGGCTGGCGGTCACCTCTACGGGAGGTTTTCTGCTCAGACGGATCACTTACAGCGTGACGCTGAACCCAGTCAGAGGTTCAAGCTATCGTTAACACTGCCGTACAATTATTACTAATGAGGAGTTTCTGCTGTGTCTGCATTTAAAAGATGCTACATCCTGTGATAAATGATGACAGAAAATTGCAGGAATTAGTTTTATTTAAAAAGATGCTGATATAAAAATGTTTCCTTTTAGAAGAACTTGCAAAGTTTGCTGTAAAAAAAAACAAAAAAACTTTAGCAAACATTTGGAATATAGAAAAAAACTTATTGCCGTTTTTAAATGAATTAAAAATGGCAAAACAAAAAAGATATACATGTTATTCTACATAAAATATACATGGAAATATTGTATGATTTGTATTGTAAAAAATATATTTTTATTCTATATTTGTTGAGTTTTGTCTAAATTACTGCTGTAAGTAGGTCACTCTATTAGCAAATTGCATTTTAGAGTCTGTAGCCACATTCTAGGTGAGGATTTGATTCAGTTACAAAATTATATCCATTATTAATAAATCATGATTAATCCAATGAATTGTTTCAGCCCTTATAGTCAGACATTTGTTGGAACATTGTGCTCTAAGTTTAAGATGAATGGAAGACTTCAAAATAAAATAGAGGTTGAGTTTGCAATATAAGGATTGATCGACAGCAGAAATAAATGTATAAAACATTGGGTTTATAAAGGAACATAAAAGCGGTTCTTGGTTGTGCAGGTTGAGTCCTGAGATCTTCCTGAAGAGGCCAGTCGTTGAAGGAAACCGATGGCGTCTGGACTGCATCCTGAGGCGCAAAGCGGTGAGCACGGCTCATTTAGGCCGTTTATTATGATTAATGTGGGATAGGCACGTTTTTAAAACAAAAAAAAAACTGAGAAGGAAGGAAAGGATCTCCGTTTAAATCAGGAGATAAAGTTTATGCAGCATGTTTAGGACTTTTATCCAAACTGTTCTGGATTGAAACCTAAGTTAGAAGCTAAGATGTTTTTACTAAATTATAAATGGAGGATTTAAGTGCAGACTGTTCCAGTTTTCATTCACACATGCTGATCTACAGTCTAACACAGAAAGCATAAACTGGAGTTGTAATGGTGAGAATGAAATCTATTCCAGGAACAAGGTGTGCGGATATTTGTGATGCTGTACAAGGAGGTGGAGTTAGCTCTGGGAATCAACTCCGGCTACAGCAAGAGGACACTGCTGCGCCTGCACCCCAACATCAAGGTTCGAACCCTTTCCCTGTAGGTTTCATCTCCTTTTCCACTTCCTCTCTGAACGGCTCCGTCTTCATTTATCATCAGGTGATGCGCCACCCGGACCACGTTTCCTCCGCCGTCTATCTGTGGGCACACCACGAGAAGATCATCGTCATCGATCAGTCTGTGGCCTTCGTGGGTGGGATCGACCTGGCGTACGGCCGCTGGGACGACGAGGAACATCGACTCACGGACATCGGGAGTGTGACCATTTCTCAAATGGAGCAGGTCTGACAAACACCACAACACACTCCTACACAGGCCTCCCTCTGCTATTCAAAGACTTTACATTCAGCGCCCACCAGGGGGCGGCAAACAAATGACAGCCAATTAAGTGCAGTTGTAACAGATGTTTTTTAATCAAAGAACCTTTGCACTGTCATATATTGTTCTGTGAACAAATGCCCAACCAGCTGTGTGTTTAGACAACAATCAAAGTAGGTGTTTTTTTCTATTGTGCATTTTAAAGTATCACATAAGAAATTACTAAATTCTGAAAAATCAAATTTGTTTTCAAGCCTGCTGTAGGGGATTTTTGGTTATTGCAAAAAAAGGTTAATGCACAAAACAGGCGATGGAAACACTTTCTCTAAACTTAAAAAAGTAAAATTCGTATTTCAGTTGGATTTAAACACGCTGAGTGTAAATGTAGCTCATATGATGTTCAAACATTTAACTCTGCACACGTGATATAGAATAAATTCAAAATGACTTCCATTTATAATCTAAGAACTTATTAACAAAAATCATTCAACTCAGAACATATTTCAGTTAAACTCTACACTAAATTAGTGAAAGTTAAATAATTAAGCAACTGCGAACACAAATTCAAAAACAAGAATCAATTGAATGGTGCAAAGATTTTACAGGTTAGCCTGGATTTTATGTCTGAGAAGCAAAGTTTATCTTGACGAGTTTAGAATGTGGTCAGATTAGCTTTTGAATTAATGTAGATTAAGTTGGATTAAATTAGATTGTGTTGAAACCAACTATGCTCTGTGGTTCCAGTCTGATACCGCCAAGTCATTCCTGTAACCTCAGAGAGAAATGTTGCAGAAAGTCTGTTTTTAAAATCTGTTTCTAAGAGAGCCATTAGGTCCACCTAGCTATCAGCAGACTTTACAGTCTGGTCCTTCAGGGCCCTCGATGCGCTGATCCTGCAGAGCTTGCACTAAAAGGTGAATGCACCAGCATGTAGCAGTGGCTCTGTGCACGGTGAGGGGGCAGGATTGCATGTTGAAGAAGGTTCTAGAGTTTCAAAGAAACCACCTTTGACATCAAACCCAATGCCCAAAATTATTATCCTGGCTTATGGCACAAGGATTCCTTCAGATTCTACTCTAAGTGGAGGAAACAAAAGCATAGCTGTGTCCAGTTACCCTTCTACATACACTTTGCAACAAAAAAACCCAATAATTTTACCTGAATCTGGGATTACTATTCCCCTATTTTAAATCAGCCAGCATCACCAACATTATCAACCAAACTAAGGCTCCATCTGTTATCTTTGACTTATTTAGGCTGCAGCTGTTTCCTCCACCGTCGCTGCTTCAGCCAATGGCAGCACCAGCTCTCCCAGGAGCCAACGGACGGCGGCAGACTCTGGAGACCAGCCCAGGCTGAAGGGTCAGGGGAGGTTTAAGAGGACCAGGATGAGCATTAAGAAACGCCTGCAGAAACATGGACTGGCTCGCGTTGACAGCGACAGTGACAGCGACCTGGAGGAAGACCAGAGTGAGTCTGAGCGAGTCTCTGTGCACTAATACAGTCAGGACTGTTTGACATTTATAGCAGCAATAACCAACACTTTGCTTTTAACATCATTTGTTTTTTGTACCAGTTGTACCAAACTTTAAAAGGTATTGCTTTAAAGATTGTTCAATTAAAACTTTTACAAGTCCACACACACACACACACACACACACACACATATATATATACAGAGGTGTCAAGTAACGAAGTACATATACTTCATTACTGTACTTAAGTACACTTTTTAGGTATCTACACTTTACTCTATTACTTATTTTTCTTCCTACTTCTGACTTCTACTCATAACATTTTTAGCCAAGTATCTGTACTTTCTATTCCTTACATTTTTAAAACAAGCGTTACTCGTTAATCTTGGCTTAGGTTTAATGTTTATAAATATTTATTTCCCGTCATGTGCTCCATCCAATGCAGATCATTGGCTCCACCCACATCTAGTGAAAACTAGTGTAATTGGATGAGTCATAGAGCGCAAACACTCATTGGTTAGCTAAAGGAAATCATCAGAAGCAAGCAGGTGTTCTTCAAACTGCTAACGTGAATTGTCTATGCCATGCTACAATGTTGGATTAAGACAAAGATGTTGAAATGTCTGAAAGGTCGGACACAGGCGAGAGCGTATCGGGAGATGGAGACCAACAAGACCTCCCTCATCCTTTGCCCTATCTCAAAGAATTTTTAGAAATAGCTAAAAAATTGAGCTTTCAGTTCATATAGTGGCATCTGGCTGTTTTTTTTTTAAGGTTACTTTATAGTTTTAAACTTTAAGTAGTTTTTGGAGCAAATACTTTCACTTTTACTTGTGTAAAGAGGTCAAGCTGAAGGAAGGATTATATCAGGTGGTTAAAATATATGATTCCCCTCTCACAACTCTGGCAAATAATGATCAAATGTCATCATATCAACAGGGTTTGTTGTTGATAAAGAGAGGAATAAACACAGTTAAAGAGTTGCAGGTGAATTAATTTCTTCCTATGTTATGGAGGGGGAACGGATTATTTCAGGCAGCTGAAATATCCATTCTCTCCTCCCCTCCTCCCACATCTATGGGAAATAAAGAGCAACTGTTTCCAGATTTTTAAAAACTTTTATAGCATGTAGTATACTAGAAATGTCCTTACATTCTCATTCTACATTCTCACCTCAATCCTGCTATCAGCAGGTTACCATCCTCTTATATCACCAATGAAAAATGATACGAGTTGTAAAACTGTGTTTGGTGACTGACTTTTATTTCTGTCTGGCTGAAGGGACAAAAGTTGGAAAAAGGCCGATTATCTTGGCGTTAAAAAAACAAACCAAAACAGCTTAAAGGACCTCATTTATTTATTTTACAATTTTGTAAACAACAGCTGCTGATTAAACTGGATTTTACAACATTGACATCATTATAGGAGTTGTTTTTAGCCAGAAATCGATCAGAAGTGCAGTGAAAATTGTCCCATCCTTCTTGTCCGCCTCTCTGGCTTCAATGCGCGCTCCCGACACAAGGGGAACAGAATTTCATACAACACCGGGACAAAGAACGTCTGGAAGTCAGTCAGAGCTTCACATCCCTGGGACGTCACTTTGTTTAGGAACAGCTAGTGGTGACAACGTCTTCTTCTGTATGGGAATGCTACAGGCTGCTTTCCTGCGCATGCTGCCACCAATTGGTGAATTCCAGTACTGCACATTTTTCTCGGATCAGCTCAGAAGCGAGATCTGGGGCTTTAGCCCAAGTAGCCACCCCCTAGATCCGCCACTGCCCGTGGTATAGCCAAACCCTCATGGAATTCGTCTTTAGGTTTCCTTAGACGCGTGACCTCTACCGTAAGAACTATAAAAGCTGCGACGGTAAACCAGAAAGTTCTCAACAAGATTTGAAGTTGTTGTTTCTGTTTTTGCATCAGTTTCGGGTCCACATGAGACATCATTGACCCCTGCTTTAAAATTAAAACCTTTAACTTCATACTTTGCTCCTGAGCAGCAAGGCTTTCTTGTATCCTTTATAATGACCAGTGTCATTGCACTGACTAGACAAGTGTTTCTGAGGCGTTCACTAATAATGTTCAATAATATAAAATCCAGCATAGAACAATTTTAGAGGATATATTTTTTCAATTTGCATAAAAAGTAGATTGAGTTCAGCATCATGATGTAGCTGTGGCAGTGGAGGATGGTTGGTATTTATCTCTGTCCTTTGGGCGGTCTGCTCAGGTTGGTCCTCCAGCATCAACAGCCAGCAAACACTGATTCCCAGCAGGCTGCTGGAGCTGAGGGCGCCCACGCCGCTCGGCCACTGCCAGGCCGGTGAGTCGGTGTGACCACCCGGAAGCATGATGGCCAGAGGCTACCTGTTTCCCAGCATGCATTGTTGTGGATTTGACCTCTACCTGACAACCTTTGCTTTGTTTCTATTGTCAAAGGTTGATCCTTCCTTTTGAACAGAGACCATCTGGAACATTACATATGCGATCAGGTGGACTTCGCACTTCTTTATAAATATAGATCTCAATCCCTCAAGGCAGACGATGTAGGATGTTTTTTTTAACAGAACTGGTTTAGCCGGAGTCAAACTGGATTATTATACCTCAGTAAAGATTGTTCTGCAGGGCCAAATATGGTTAACAAGTAACCTGAAGATTTCATTAAAGCTCAAACATAAATCCTCTAGATTAAGAACCTGTCAAACCTTGCCGATTTAGCCAGCGTATGCCTGATGTCCCAGAATCTCCTAAAACGCTGGCATACGCTGAACTTTCTATTTATTTTTCAATTTTGGGTGTATACATAGCATATTCATAACGAGTCCAGAACTTATGCCCAACAACAGCCTAACTTATGCATAACTCACGGCAGCGTAACGCCCATGAAATGATGCACAAGCCAGTGTCCTGATGGGGGCAGGGATGCGCCCAGAGGTGCCCAGTCTGCATAAAGAGATTTATTTGATCGTGGTATTAACCTAGCTGCTGTTTATCACCAACCAAAAAATTAAAAGAAAGAAAGAAAGAAGGTTTGCAGTCGCAGCAGATTCAGCATCATGTCTGCTAGTTTGTTGGTGGTGGGCGTGATCACAGGGAGGATCCATCACTCTCACCTTCTGGCTCACCCTATGATGGGGATGAAGTCTGGAGGAGAACTGATGGTTTCCTCCTGTGAACCCCCTTTATACCAAAACGCTGCCAATACGCCATTATACAGTAGCTGGAATTTAGAAACACGTTCAGCGCTCGTCTGGAACACGTCAGATACCTTGATATGCGATGGAGAGAAGTTCTTGATAAATTACGCATCAGTTATACACAAGTTAGGTTCTGGATAAGCTGGATGCCACGACACTTAATGTATGTCAACAATCACATAACTTACCTGTAACTTATGGCCCATGTATGAAATAGGCTGGCATGCATCGCCGTATGCCGCCGTGTACCTGCATGCTTCAGCGTGCTGATAAATTATCCAAAACTCACCCATAACTTATCCAATGTATGCCAGCGTTTTTGCCTGATTTTTCATACGTCAGCCATACGCTGGTCTAAACCGTCAAGCTGTGACAGATGTGCCTGTTTTTCCTGGATGTGGCTGATCTAAAAAATTTAGATTGTATTAAATTTGCCCTTTTTATTTTAATAAACCCCAAAAAAAGCCTTTAAAATTATGAATCAGGAAGCGAATATATGCATATAGCTGAAACCAATTGTTTGAATACATTGTATGAAAAGGAAACGTTTTTTATAGTTTGGACGTCGAATCAGGCTAAGGTTTTTCTGTTAAAGACAGACCGATTGATAACTCATAGATAGTTATCGTAGCCATTTTACTTTTTGTGTTCTGGGTTTAATGATCATATTTTAGGCTTATGAGCCTTTTTTAAACTCTATTAGTTATAGTAACTACTACTGGTAACTTTCAGTTCTTATTCCTAGAATAAGAACTTCATTAAAAAATCTGTTTCCAATCAGCATTGCCGTCATAATCTGGGCTGATTTTTAAAGTAAATGTTTATAAATTGTTTCTTCCTTTTAGGGAACCAGTCTGTGCGAAGTCTTCATACAGGTGTGGGAGATCTGTTTGGAGACACGAGGTTCTGGCACGGCAAAGACTACTGCAACTTTGTGTACAAGGACTGGATCCAGCTGGACAAACCTTTTGATGGTAAGTATTCATCTGAGGTCTGCGTCTCCAACACCATCGATTTATTTCATTTTCAGATCCTTATGAGCCATTTTTTTAATCTCGTTTAGATTTCATAGACAGACATAAAACTCCCAGAATGCCTTGGCATGACATCGCTTCTGTCGTTCACGGGAAGGCGGCTCGAGACGTGGCTCGACACTTTATCCAGCGCTGGAATTTCAACAAGGTTAGTTGTATTAGTTTTTGCTGAAACAATAAAGTAATTAACTAAAGATAAGGAAGTCTTTAACATTAGAAGAATGTTAGAGAAATAAACCAGCTAAATCATTTAACATTAAAATCTTAGTCTTATCTTAATTAAGTTTCTTTATCCAACTTTTTATATTATTCTTCCTCCAGTTATTCAGAATATTTTATTTGTCCTCAGCAGTAGCTTATCAGCATTACTTTAGGCTTTTAAATAGTTTCTTTGGATTTTGTTTTGCAGTAAAATCTTTTTCAGAGGGATGTTTTTTGTTTGTGTAGGAGTTTTCCATCTAATTCAGTTTATTTCTCTATTAATAGATCATGAAGCCCAAATACAGATCGTTATCATATCCCTACCTGCTGCCAAAGTCCCACAGCACAGCTGGAGAGCTACCATACCAGGTTCCCAACTGCGTCACCACTAAAGTGCAGGTTTGGATTTAGTTCCTGGGAATTCTGCTTGTTATTAACTGAAAGACCGGATGCTATTAAACTGGTTTTGTTTGGTTAAACTGAACATTAAAGGTATTGTGGATGATCCTCTGTTTAGAAGTTGCTGTTCTCATATCTCATACAAGCTTACTGTGTCTGAACATCTGCTCTAACCCCTAAATCTCTCAATCACTATATAGAGCAGGGACTTTATAGTGGACTTTATAGTGAGCTCAGTTAACCGACCGTTCAGACATATGATCACTGTCTTTTGGTTATGTAACTCCTCCTGCACTGCGTGGTGCCTGCGCCATCTTTGTTATTAGTTGCCGCTGTAGTGACCCGACATTCTATGGTGAGAGCAGGCTGCTGTGACAGCAAATCCCATAATGCTTTGCGAGGAGAGCTCTCCACGCAAAGCATTATGGGATATATCTGCCTCTTCTGAGGCTTTTCTTTTCTTATTATCTTTGTAGACACTTTTTCTTTTACGAACATCGGCCATTTTCAAAGAACCGCAGTGAGTAAGGTGAGATTCAATGACTGTCTGACACCGTAGCTCACCACAGATATACGCCTGAGAGGCGCAGAAAAAGATAGCTAACAGGACGGGGACGTAGGACGGTCTTATGTAAACATATCACCAGAATGATTGACAATTAGGAGGACCACTTATTGAGATGATCCACCTGGAAATAAAAGATCGACCTCTATACCTTTAAAATTAACAATAAGGAACGTTTTTCCGCCGGTTAATTTTTTTTCCCTTGAGGTTGATGCCAACTCCAAAAAAAAAAACATAGAATACAATTAATTCATCTGTCATTGGTTAATACCTAATAGTCAGAAATTGGAGAATTAATTTACTCCTTTTTCTTTTTTTTTGGCATCCCACAGGGCTTTGTACTAGTATCTGAAATAATTTATAATTTACATGGTATTTTTCAGGGAAACAGTGTAAATGGGTTAAGTTCTTTTCTTGATTCTGAATTTTTATGAAACAGTCTTTAAATATAACTTTCAATTATGTGGTGCCTGTTTGCAATATTTAATAAAATAGTTTATATGAGTGTGGAAATCATTTTGGCAATATATCATGATTTTTGGCTGCCTGATATAATATTAATATTTTAGTTCCTAGTATTGATTTTTTTAAAGCTAAAACTGAGGGATAATGGGCTGCCTTTTTACCGACACTCTGGCAGATATTGCTTTGGAGCCCATTTACAGAGGTTGCTTTTTTATCTATGTTTTCAATTTTAATAGCAAGAAAAATATCGCAATATATATTGCTATATTGAAATATAGTGATAATATCGTATTTTACACATATCGTATCGCAACACCCATGCCTTACCTCCAATGGTTTAGTGAGTTTTAGCAGTTTACATGATATTTGTTTATGTTATAAATAAGCTTTGCAATGTTTTCCTTCCTCACAATATTGATCCAAAATAACACAGGTGTCCAGTAACTGCAGTCATATGGAGGGTAATGAGTGCTGCAATGCAAAAACTGATTTACGTATGAAATAATTATTAAAATGTGTCATTAATTATATATGTCTTCAGTTAAATATATTGATTTAATCTTAAAAGGTAGATTTAAATATTTCATGATTTAATAGAATAATTAGTGTTTTTAATGTGTGCACTTAAACAGCATGAATTTAACTGTCACACATCCATCAAAGTCAAAGAGGCGGGTCTAGGGCCGCTTCCATAGAAACACTGATGTCTGATTGGCTGATTCTCACTGAGCGAGATGAAAAGAAAAAAACTTCTTCCTGGTTTTCTTTTACTTAACCTCTTACACCCTCAGGGGGTATAAATAAATTTCTGCCTGACAAAAACACACAAAAGTAAATCACTTATAGCCTCAAAGCTATTAGATTTAAGAAGAAACTTTTGGTACGTCTGTAAAGGTAAGATGTCATAGAATGGTTTTCTGGTGTCAGCACCATTGTAGCTTTGACCCTGCCTAAAATATTAGGGACAAAATACAAAATATTTTGCATTTTTTGAACCTCGCCAAAATTTTCTTTGAAATAAACATTGCAAAACACTAACAAAATATTATTTATAGCACAAAAAAGTAGTACAGACTTTTACATCTAAATGTTGTGTAAAAATATACCAAATTTGGACTCAATCAGATGAATCATATTTATTTTAGAATGGTATTAGTGAGAAATTTCTTAGGCGGAGAGGCCATTTTGGCACATTTATCCATAAATGTCACCAAACTGTGCCAAATGTGTTTTTTACATCAATACTGGGGGTTTGTTAAAATTACGAGGTCACGTAGCAGCTGTCACGTAGGTCACGTAGAACCCTACAGTGGGTCTGTAGGGTTCTAGGGGTTAAAGTCAAGATTTAAACTAAATATTGATGTTTAATATTAGTCCTGCCTCCTTGATGGATGTGTAACAAACTAATTCACAGTGCACTTGAGCGCAGAAACATTACATCATGAACTTATTATATTTACTTCAGAAGATAAAATCTATATATTTAGGTGAGGCCCATAGAACTAGTTGCGTATTTATATTTTAATACATGATTGAGACATTTAAATAATTATTTTATAAGCTATTCATTGAATTGTGGGAATTGTAATCCTCAATACATTCAAACCCAAATCATATTTAGATTTATTACCTGGTTAAAAGTTGTTCCTCTTGTTGATCTTTCCTTGTGTTAAACCTACTTTCCTCAGGTGCTTCGCTCTGCGTCAGATTGGTCGGCTGGTATCAAATACCATGAGGAGTCCATCCATAACGCTTACGTCCACGCCATCGAGAACAGCAAGCACTTCATCTACATTGAGGTGTGTTTCTGTTGGAATACTGGGTCTTTCTGAGAGACTGGAGATGTATGAAGGTGTCATGCAATAGATGAGAAAGCGCCAGTGTTTAGCACTATTTTTTTTTTTTCATTTTTATATTTTATGTTGTATGATCGCCTTCGCTTTCAGCTACAGTGTATTCTGTATATATGTGGGGGGGTCAAACGTATCGATACTCCAAAAGTATTGATCTCTGAAATGCTCCATGTGGACGCCATAGTGGTTGGGCCTGGAATCCAGACCAAGTATTTCTGTTGCCCATAATGGATTTCTGGATTTTTCTTGCTTTAAAATAATAATAACCCAGACAAATTTCAAATAATATCAATTTGGATCATATTTTAGTCATTTATAGTTTATTTGCACACTGGCTAAGCTAGCATTTGTGATCCTGTTAAAGTCTGGTCCTTCATGGCCCACGATGCTGATCCTGCAGAGAATGTACAGGCATGCAGCAGATGCTCTGTGCATGCCTGTACGCTTCTACAGTTTCAAAGTAAACCAGCTTTAACATCGGCTTTAACCCAATGCCAAAAAATGATTATCACAGCTTATGGCTTAACAACTTTTTGATTTGAACATTTAATTTTTTATTTTTTTTACATTTTAGATAAATTGCATATTGTAGTATGCCGTACATATTTGAACCAAGGGCTCAAACATGTACGGCTGGAAGCCTTCTACACCAAACCAAGCTTCTGCCGCCCTGGCGTCCTCTTCCACAGCATCTTCATCCCCGCTTTCCTCCTCTAAATAAAAAATGGATGACGGAGGAGACTCATCCACGACCTCCGACACTAAACTCTCCTCCTCTTGCATGTTTCCTCTGTCCATAGCGTTCCTTGACAGCGTCGTTTCTAAGTCACCAATTTAGTGCTACTTGGTCCCAATGGAATTTCCTGCTAGCACTAAGTTGCTAACTGGTTAGCAAGATGCTGCTGACAAACCGGCCACAACCAAAGAGCTTGTGAACCTTCCGCCATAACGATCCCGCCCCCTTGATAATCGACCAATCACATTCACTTTATTCACTCGTGTAAAGTCGTGCACTGGGGAGAATTTGGAAATGCAACGGTTGGAACAGCCGCTTCCCTACGACTTTAACTAATATGTTTTACAAAAAACATATTTGTTCAGTCTGCAGCAGGGAGGGTTTTATCCCGAACAAGTCAAGAATGTAAATTTCTTTAAGCATTAAGGATTAAATTCACATCTGATCTATGATTCACTTTTTCTTTTCAGAATCAGTTCTTCATCAGCTGCGCAGAAAACAAGCTTGTCTACAACAAGATAGGAGATGCTATAGCAGAACGCATCATCAAGGCCTACAGGTAGAGTGAAACCGCCAGCGTTGGATCTCTGTTTTCATTTCCCACGTAGTACAAACATGGCTGCTGTGTGTGGTTGAGCGCATCTCTTACCAGTTTCTAAGGAACTAACATTTAGAGGGGGGGGGGCGGGGCTATAAATTCAATAAATTCAAAATAGACGTATACCAACAACCAATCAAACGTATACTAAGTTATCACACCAAAATAGTGGCTGCGCACCTTGGATGGAACCATTGGTGACAGAGCAGCCACTATTTTTCCGTGTGTGTTGTGTAATGATATGCCAATGAGATTTGCATAATTGTATCTCCTTGGCCGATTTATAGAACTGTCGCTGTATCCTGAACCTTTATCACGTGTTGCACTTCATATGGATCCTACCCACATAATGTTGCTTATGGGCCTATTGTTGTGTCGTTACACCATTGATCAGCCACATCTGGACACACTTTACTGAACACGCCTCAGGAGCGTCACAGCTGCTCTTGAGGCGCGTCAGACCTTAATGTGTAAATGCATCAAAAATGAAGCAGCAGAAGCTTTTTTTGCTGCTCAAATCAGTTAGTTGTTGTCAGGTCTAAGCACTTAAAACATCATACATACACACAGGGAAAGAAAGAAAGCACAGAGACAATTAATTTAGTTTACTCGCGAGGAGAGTAGGAAGAGACTGCGGAGTTTACAAATCTCCAACCCACTGTGCGGTCCCAGCGTATTTATTGGAATCAGTGGTCCCAGCTGAGACTACATGGGGGGGAAACAAGACAAGGAACTCAGACTTGCAGTCTCAGCAAACATGTCCTCTAAATCTCAGGGTTCAGTCAAAGTTTAAGCTGTTGAAGCTGTTCACCAAAGTTCAGCAGGTTGAGTGCTGCTCGTAAATCAGCCACAACCCCCCCAAAAGCAAGTCCACAAATCACAGTATACTTCAGAAAAGGTGGCTGTGAAAGCATGCACATAGCACACAGCTTTATGCATGATAACACTACACAGATACATTTATATACAATTATTCTAACAGGTATGAACGTAGCTTTAAACTGCCCAGATTTTGGTTTAACCATCAGAAACAGCAAAGCTAGTAGAGACAAACCTGAAGGATTTACTGATCAACTGATCTGGAAAAGAAAAGTTTTAACAAAGACGTCATTGAACACTTTGATCTGCTCCTGCTTTGATGAACCTTTAGATGGTTTTTTTGGTTTGTAGAAATGGTGAGAAGTACCGTGTTTACGTGGTGACGCCTCTGCTGCCGGGCTTCGAAGGCAACATCAACACCGGGGGGGGCAGCGCCATCCAGGCTGTGATGCACTTCAACTACAGGTGGGTGTTCCCATCCCGTCGCTGAACGCCAGGCGGGTCGTGGTTCCACTTCTCTGATGGATCCTCTACTTTTATCTGTGCAGAACCATGATTAAAGGAGATCGCTCCATCATCGCCCAGCTGCAGAAAGAGAGTAAGTCATCCACTCTGAGTGTTGGAGACCAATCAGTGTTAACGAGCAGAGAAGATCTAACGGTGTCTGGTTTGTGGTGTTCAGTGGGGGGGCAGTGGATAAACTACATCTCCTTCGCCGGTCTGAGGACCCACGCCGAGCTGGAGGGGACGCTGGTCACCGAGCTCATCTACGTCCACAGCAAGATGCTCATCGCCGACGACAACACCGTCATCATCGGTAAACACTGCTCTGCAGCCGCGGCTGTGACAGAATGCTGGATCAACGGCTGCTAATGACTCTTTCCGTCTGCAGGCTCTGCTAACATCAACGACCGCAGCATGCTGGGGAAGAGGGACAGCGAGGTGGCGGTGATCGTGGAGGACTCGGAGACGGTGGATGGCGTGATGGACGGGCAGCCGTACAAGGCCGGGAAGTACGCCCTGCAGCTGCGCCTCCACTGCTTCAGGTAGCGACTCGCCTTCCATCTAGGGCTGGGAGATATGAATTCAAATCAATTCAGTTCATTTATATGACACTAAACGTGTCATCCCAAGGCACTTTACAGTTGACCAGATTGAGTCAAAGTTTTCTAACTAAGGAAAACCAGTTGATTGCATCGACTCATTGACTAGAAGGCAATCCCTCACACTAAAGGCCTAGTTATACTCGAGCAGCAGTGTTTCCCAGTGAGATTGAAGCAGACATTTTTGATTCATGCCCAATATTGAAGCGTGGTCTGCGCTATGTTATTCCACGCCACAAAGCAAGAGAGACAATCAGGAACTAGCTGTGGGTGGAGATGCAGCCGAGGTGGTGAGGAAGTGGGGGCATGTTTGTGCGACAACGGAGGGACATGAGGGCCAAAAAGAGCGGGGATCCAGGTGGAAAAAGGGTCCCAGCGTTCTCACGCACCTCGCTCTTCTAGCTGGTCCATTTTCAGGAGTCGTTTTCCACAATGGCGGTCATACAAACAAAACAAGCCTGTAAGGAACCAAACAGGAAATACGCGTAGTGTAGAGCGGATGCAGATTTGACCAATCAGAGGCCTCCTGTCTGTAGCACTGTCTGCAGTCACCTACAGTTTTGGAGAGATGCAGCAGAGTGTTTGCAGAAGGGGCGGGGCATATTTACCATCACTGCGACACACACGCAGACGACCTGGTTTCTGTGTATAAACCAGCTTTAACCATGCTTTTAGTGACAGGGCTTTGTTTTTATAATAAAAAGAAATGCAGGATGAAAAAAGAAATTGATCTAAAATTACAGAAACAAAAGTGGAAATACTGTCGAAAAATGTGAGCGTTATTAGAACATCTCCAAACTATTAGCATTGATCTTTACATGCTGGGAATTATAAAGAAGCACAGAAAGTTGTAAAATTCAGACACAGGGATTAGAGCGTCTAAAAAGCATTTAAATAAGGAAATAAATAGCCTCTGTGATTTCCCTCCATCTGTTCCTTTCTCTCTCATATGGGATTCACAGCTGACTTATTTAACGTATTATTTGTGTTCAGACAGACGCTGAAAAGCGGAGTTTACAACATTCTTCTTTTTGCAGCAGACGACTTTTTAGGTGGTGGAATAAATTTGCACTGCTTCTGCAATAGTTTTTGCAGCACGTCTTACAAATTAGTGCCTTTTGTCCGACTTCCTCTGCGTGAAATCAAACCGCTGCTGTATATTGCTCAGCTGAAACACCTGCTGTCGCCATATTCCGTTCACTGTAGTGTAGAAAGTAATCCTGTTTGGAGGAGGAGTTTATGATGCATTCAAAGTGTGTGGGGAAAAATAAAACTCCCAGTGAAAGGCCGTCATGTGGATTTGTACTCGATGGTTGCTATAGAGTCATTTTATCTACTGTGAGTGGGAAAAATCGAGATACATCGAGTATATTCGATATGTTGCTCACCCTACTTCCATCCACACCAGATGCAACCTTCTCAGTTCAAAGAGACATGCTTCCTGCTCTAAAACGAAATGTCAAGAGCCAAAATAAAGGCTAGGAACCAAGATTACTATTAATTTACTGCATCAATTAAGAAGAACAAACATAATTTAACCTTTAAAACAGGAAACAAAAAGATGGATATTGTAGAAGAAGAATAGTTAGCCTTGCTAAAGATTTAAAGCTCATAGTTGAACTAAAATATGCAAATCCCTTTATTGTCCCACAATGGGGAGATTCACTCTCTGCATTTAACCCATCCCCCTTGGGGAGCAGTGGGCTGCCATCACGCGGCGCCCAGGGAGCAGTCTGGGGTTAAAGGTCTTGCTCATGAACCCAGAGTGGAGGCTGTGGGGATCAAACCGGGTACTTGCAACCTTCTCAGAGCACAAGCTCACTGCTCTAACTATTAGGTCAACACTCCCCATATACGTATAAAAAGTTTGTACTACTTGTTTCCCTGCTGTTGTAGATGTTATTTCCATATTTTACATTAAATCATTCAGAAGAGCCATTAAACGTTAAATTAATTTCTTATTCTGTGGTATTTGAACTCAGAGCCTTTGGCATGAAAGCCCAATGCTCCAACCACTAGGCCACCACTGCTGACTGATGTCAGGCCTCGGCTGCAGTGATTCGTCGCATTCAGACAAACGTTATTTGGTCCTCAGGCGAAGTAGCATTCATCCTTTGCTCTGATTTTATTATTTCTCTCCATGTTAAGAGTTCTGCAGGTTTGCTTCTCTAAAGCTGACCTCAGATCAGGTTAGTGCTCCTCTGTTTCTGAACCTCTTCCTAATCTTCCCTCAGGATGGTCCTCGGGGCCAAGTCCGACCCGTCCATCGACGTGTCCGATCCCATCAGCGACCAGTTCTACAAGGACACCTGGATAACCACCTGTGCCAAAAACGCCTCCATCTACCAGAAGGTGAGTCCGTCGTCCTGCTTCCTGCTCTGCCACCGCGAACTGAACGGCCCTAAGATCCTGGAAAGGCTCTAATGTTTGGGGATTGAACTGGAGGATCCTCAATGTTTTGGGCCCCTGGGAACTAATCAGAGCTGAATGGTGTTGATCAGTCAGCTTTCTTAGAGGACAGTACCTTATTACTTTTGTAACATTCAAAAATATCTATATTTTTATAGCAAAATGAAGCTAAATGTCATAAAAAGACACGGCCACATGCCCTAATATGTTGAGAAAAATAACAAAAGTGGTCCAAAAGAGGTTCATGAAAACAACCAGAGTGAAAGAAACACATTTTTTTGTTACAACATATCCTTAATGACATTAATTCTTATAACAGGCACTTATATTTTTTACTCATTTGCTTATTACATTTTTAACTTTACTTTTTAACTTTTCAGTTAGCCATTTACCTTTTTTCTTAACTTCCAACTTAATTTACAGTAGTTATTAAATCGTTGAAGGGCTCATGGAAATTGTCAAATGCTAATATAACATGTATGTTGTTTGTGCTCGTCCCCATTTTCACTAACCACTGGTGAGTTTGACATAGTGGAAAAATAGCAAATCTTCTTTTGGAAACTAAGCTTGTATGATTGATGCAAGCAGCAACTTTTAAACAGAGCGTGCACGAGGAGAAATGGACTCGTGAACGCTCTCACAAGCATTTAATAGGCCTTCCCTCTGTGGAGCAGGTACAGGGTTGTGCATGTGCATTTTTTTTTTTTTTTAAGTGGAGACGAGATTTACGCAAACTTTCAAAAATGATATAGAAATAAGCTTTCCTTACTAGAGTGATTGTGGACTCACGTCTAGACTTCCTCCTAAGACGTGGAACGGACTGGACCAGTGTTATTTTGCTTTGTGTGTTTTTATGTGACCCACTCCATTCCTTCTCTCTGACTCCTCCAGGTTTTCTGCTGTCTGCCGTCCAGCGATGTCCGCAGCATGTCGGAGCTGGAGGGTTTCCTGGCCAAGCCGGCTCTGGCCAAAGAGGACCCTGCTCAGGCTCGGGAGGAGCTCAAGAAGATCCGTGGCTTCCTGGTCCAGTTCCCTCTGTACTTCATGAGCGAACAGAACCTTCTCCCTCCCATCGGCTCCAAGGAGGCCATGGTTCCCATGGAGGTGTGGACCTGAGGAGCCTGTTTGATTCATCGCTGACGCCATGTTGGAGGTCCGAAAGAAAACGACTGTTCAGGCTTGAATCACATGAAGGCAGGAAGCAGCTGGGTTCAGATCCACGTCCCCGAGCTCAATTAACACTAATCAACCCGCCGGAGATCCAGCCTGATGATTAGGCATTGCCAAAGACAGAAACACATTGGTGAGAAAAAAAATAGATAAATAAGAGCGAGAAAATCTGCCTGCAAGGCTCAACCCTGGGTAAAATAACCCAAATGACACTACAGTTAAAGCAGCCGTTTTCTTTCTCTAAAGCTCCTCTGGAAAAATCATCCCTTCACATTCCAGGGAAACGGAGGAATGACCAGTTTCTCTTCAGAGATGCCAGATTTTCTCCAAAACAGCAGGCTGTACTAGAAACCCTTTCTTTGTTCAAACTATGAATCAACCAGCTGCTGCGGTCAGGGGTCCGTGTCACTGTAAAACCTCCACCAGCTTGGCCTCAAGTCTATCATCATCATCATCATCATCCCGATCAGGTGGAAACACTGCCCAGCAGACGCAGAGTTAAACTCCACCATGCCTGAAAGTCTGCTTCCTCCTGGTCGGATACTGACTGTGCAGCTCTGCTCCTGCTGCCCCCCCTATGCATCATCCGAGGCTGGGAAACGCAGCTTGTTTGCTAAAAAAAAAAAAGACACTAACTGGATTAAAAAAAGACGAAAAAGATGAAGAAGATGATCAAACTTGTCTCGTATTTAACTGTTATTTTTCAAAGTGCCAAAACAAAGATCCCAGCACACATTTACATTCCTCAGACTGTGGATTACGCCTTAAATGACTTGTTCTCTATATGTGATGTGCTACATCTGCATAGAGATTATATTATGCATGTATCTCTTTAATTTAGATCTGTTTATCTTTTGTTTTTCTTTTCATTCCAAAAAAAATCAACAGTTTTGCCTCCAAGACTACCTAACTGATCCAAGATCAGATTGTGTTTTTCCTTGTCGTGCTGCATGAGTCCAGTGGAGCCTTTTGTTACTGATGTGTTATTAACTTTTATTCAGTGAAGGAGCAGCTGCTTTAAAATCTTTGAACCTGCAGTCATTTTTCGGGCCACTAGATGGCAGCAGAGTGGCATAAAAATCCGGCATACTGACGTCATAAATGTCTAATATTTATTTTCCAGATGTGGGGGGGGGTGGAGGCGTCACTATTTGTGTTCATTTATGTTTTTTAGAGTTTCCTCCTGCCTTAAAATGTGGTCAAACAGACAAATTGGCGTTTCTGCTTCTTGTTTTTGGGGTCCAATTGGCTTTAGAATAATATTTGTTTTGATTTAATTAGATCATAAAGGAATTGAGCTGGTTTCTCCTGCAGGACATAAAGGAGACAAATGCAAAGAAATATTTTTATTTTTTTCTATACTAACATTTTTTTCTTAGCCTTTAACTTTAACAAAGTTGTCAAAAATGCTAAATCTGAAGATGTGAAATTTAAAAAAAGAAAGGTAGAATGAGTTCAGTTTAAGTTTAATTAAATTGAGAATTTACATGTTTAACTTTTTATTAATCTTAGAGCTTTTTATTTTATTTTCATTTTACTTTCAGATTCAAACTTTAAGTTCAGCTTAAACTTTGTTTCCTTTTTCTTTTATTCATAAGCTTTAAGTTTCCCGATTTAATCAAGATTAATATATATTCTTAATTTTGGAAAAGTCCTTATTTTTGGCCAAAAACCCAAGATAAAAGCCTAATGTGTTTCCATAGATGTAATATATCAGTTTTGTTGTTTGTTTTTTGCTGCCCCCTAGTGGCAAGAAATGATTGGCTGATCTCTGCAGGTTTAAAAAATACTTCAAAGTTATCACCTTTTTGAGAATGAAATGTAACTTTCTCCTCACTGCAGCCTTGATCTTTGTAGGAGTCGTTCCTGTCTGCCTGTTGATCTGCATGAAGCTGCAAGTTTGATTAAAAAAAAAAGAACAAGGAGCCATGTAGCTGACAGCATGACAGCAGTGTGTTGCCATTACTTCCAGCAGATCCCAGCATGAAGCCTGCTAGGTTTCCTCTAAAGCCATGATTGATGCTAAACGGTGTGCCTGTCTCAACCTTAAACCTAAACGGTTATTAATTTTATCTGTCTTCTCTACCTCTCGCTGCCTCTACCTCTCACTCTCGTGCTTCTAATTTTCTCTAAAATGGACATTTTGCTGATTTACACAAACTGAAACTCATAGAGATCTTCTGAAGGGGCGTCCAGGCTGCAGACGCTCTGATAAGCTCGTGTCTTTGATTTTTCTCTGTTCAATCTTTGATCGCTGTGTCTCTCTGGAAATGCACTATTTGCACAGACTGTTTCACTTTGTGTTGCTTTGGTCAGACTAAATAAATGTGGGAATGATGGCATTGACATGAGGATTTTCTCATTTCTTCTCTTTCTGTTTATGATTTGTTTAAAATGAACAAGTAGGTTACATATGCTCAATAATATATAAAACATCAGAGAAAGAAAACCTGATTAAATGCTGAATATATTTTTGTGTTTTAGAAGTTAATTTCTTAGGGTATACATTTATATAATCCTTTCTTTTGATTATCTAGAACTGCCAGCTTCTTAAATCATGATTCTTTTTTTAAGTGACATTTCTCTGGCTCAAATCCACCAGCCAAAATCAGACTTGATTGCTGCCAGAGAGGAGAATTAAGAAGTTACTGACAGAACCTTTGTAAAAACAGGAAATGGGGAAAATATCCAAAAATAACGCATCCTGCCCTGATGTTAAGAAATGTAAGAAAAGATGAAAAGACGTCTGAGTTTGATAGCGGTGACAAAGCTGTGCAGCTGGCTTCTAGAATTACTCCAAGAGTTCATCAACGACTCATCCAGGAGGTCAGAGGGACTCAGAACAACATCTAAGCTTTCTACGCCTCTCTGCCTCGGAAAACCAAGACCAGAACCTTTGATGACCAAATTCAACATGTCTCACATTTACCAAAAACATCTTTATGGTTTCTTTTGGCAAAGGTTCTGCAGCTTAATGATATAAAAGTGGACGTTTTTGGAAGGTGCCTATACATCCGGTCAACAGATCATACCTTCACTCAGACATGGTGACGGTAGTATGATGGTCTGGGTCTGAGTTGTTGCTTTCTGGATCTGGAACTCTAACTGTAGCTCATAGATCCTTGAATTCAGCTTATATATTTTAGAGCATCAAAAAAATGAGTTGATATTAAAGAAAAATAACCGAAGAGAAAACATTAATTACAATGTAAATAAATTACAACAGCATCAGCATTTAAGAGTTTGTGATAACTTAGCGTTGTTTTTTTTTGTATTTAATGATCTATAAGGAGACAATACAATATGATTGAACAAACTGTAAATATGCCAGACTGTGGCCAGTGCAAATTTCATTCTCTAGTCCATTTGGGAAATTGATTTCAAATAACTTACAAACAATTCACTGGACTTTGTTTCCAAGGCTTGTTACTGGAGCTTACAGTCCCCTGGGAAGACAGGATGGAGGAGGCTCATGAAAGGAAGAAGGCGAAGTATCTTGAGCTGATTGAGGCATGCAGATGCCGTGGATGGAGGGCCCGCTGTGAGCTAATAGAAGTGGGCTGCAGAGGCTTTCTAAGTCAGACCGTGCATCGGGCATTTAGGCTCCTTGGCATCAGAGGGTTGCTTGAGAGAAGAGCCACCAGAAACATCAGTAAGGCTGCTGAAAAAGCCTCAAGGTGGCTGTGGATCAAGAGGGGCATGGAGTAGCGCGCTGCTTGAACACAAACTGGGGCCTGATCAACCCCGGTTGGGTCTCCCAGACGAGGGTGTCTGAAGATCAAAGACCCGAAACACCCTATGACCCTGGGTCCTTCACTGACGATGTGTTCAAGCTGCACCGGCTAGGTGTTTTAAAATCTAATCTCTTGTCTGGAGGAGGTTGCTCCTCTGTGTTGGGCCATGCTTCTGTGGAGAGGTTGTTTGGTTTCTCCATTATAAAGATCAAAGTATTCCTCACTGCATTGAACTGCAGACACCACTCCACTTATCTTTGGTCTGGGGGTTTTACCTTTAGGATGCACCAGTGTCTGTTTAAAGGTTTTGTTTGGTTTGAAATATGCTGGGATTTTGTGTTTGGAGAAATTCCTCCTGAGTTTTTCAGAGTCTCCAGCAACATAAGGGATGGAGATGTTTTAGTGTTTGATCTTCTCACTGCTGCGTGTCTTTTGGATTTCCTTGCTGATTTGACAAACGCCCAGTTTGGGTATCCACAGGTTTGGAGAGCATCTTTGATGTGTTTGTGTTCTTTATGCTTCCCTTCTGTTTTAGTAGGGACATGCTCGGCCCGGTGTTGTAAGGTTCTGATGACTGAAAGTCTGTGTTCCAGTGGGTGGTGATAGTCAAAAACAATTCAAAACTACCCATTTCTTAGGGATGGACCTGTTTTTCCAGTTCAATTTCATGTTTTCTAAGCCATAACAAGGCTTTGTTGGGCCACTCTATAAAGCCAGGAACTCAATGCTATTCCAGACATTCTGAATTGAAAAAGCTTCCTGGATGGGCAGCAAAATGTCTTCAAACTTGGAAAGAAAGTCCAGTGGATTGTTTTGATTTTTTTTTGGAATAGCTATGACCTGGATGACTGAGAATCTTCACCAGTGCTTTGGAGTTAGAGCCCCCCGCTCACAAACAACACAGTACAATAACAAAAACAAGAGACAATACTAAGTCAAAAAAATAAATATATGCATCATCACTTCAAAAACATTACTGTCCACAGTTGTGAAGATAAAAATAAAATAATTTAATATAGAGAATATCCATGTTCATATCAGACCATATGATCAGTACATTAGGTCTGCATTGATCTGTCCACTATATTTAGTACTGTATATACATTTTCCTGGGCTTGCGTGCGGGAATTTTGTCTGCAGGGCTGCCGTACGGAGTGCTGTGAAAGCAAAAAAATATGTTATTTTGCCTGCAAGGAGCTCGTGGACGCTTCAAGCAATAAACCAAGCTTTAGCTTCCAGCCTCCCTCAGCTCACTCACTCAAGCTGTCACTGTCCCTCTTCCTGACCTTCCATTACTCGTTTCCACACTTAGCCACGCCCCCTCAGAATGCCTTGGCACCAATCACTTTGGTGGCATTTTGTTCAAATTTATAGTGAGGATGGAGTTATATTAAAGGAATAGTACACCCAAAACATGATCAGCCTTCATTTTCTACTCACCCCCATGCTGAACAACACTCTGGAGTACTTTTTTGATATCTCAAATGCATCTGGAGATCTGGGAGGCTTCTTGCTGTCTGCTGACATTCAAATAATGGAGGTCTATGGCGCCCGAGACAGAAAGGTCCATAAAAGTCCACAAAAAACGTGTCAATATTCCTCCATACTGCTCGTCCAATGTATTCCAAGTGTCCTGAGTGGGTAGCATCCAGAATTTACTCGAAACGAAGTCATTTAGAATGTCATGTAGAATGAGCATAAACAGTAGTGTATAGGATTTCCTAAAAGCGCGTTCACGAGTCTACGGAAACCGCGGCAGACCAAACCAGATGAAAGTGCGCATTCAGCGTCTGCTCTGCCGATAATGCAAGCGTAGAAGAAGAAATGTGCTGTTTACCTGTGCAAAGAAAGAAACAACGAAAGAAAAATGTCTGAGGACTTCAGTGTTGAGGAAGAGCATGAGTTCTTTGCCGAGCTGAATGCGCACTTTCATCTGGTTTGGTCTGCCGCGGTTTCCGTAGCGTCGTGAACGCGCTTTCAGGAAATCCTATACACTACTGTTTATGCTCTAAAAACATTCTAAATGACTTCGTTTCGAGTAAATTCTGGATGCTACCCACTCAGGACACTTGGAATACATTGGACGAGCAGTATGGAGGAATATTGACACGTTTTTTGTGGACTTTTATGGACCTTTCTGTCTCGGGCGCCATAGACCTCCATTATTTGAATGTCAGCAGACAGCAAGAAGCCTCCCAGATCTCCAGATGCATTTGAGATATCAAAAAAGTACTCCAGAGTGTTGTTCAGCATGGGGGTGAGTAGAAAATGAAGGCTAATCATGTTTTGGGTGTACTATTCCTTTAAGTTATATCTTAAAACCACGCTGTGCAACTTTTAGCCACTAGGAGGGGCTAGACTTGTAAGTTCCAGGTTTAGTGGCCCCTGAAAGTCCCTGGCAGGTCAGCACTTCAGCTGTTAGAAATAGCCTTTTTCTATGTTTTAAAACCTTATAACAGACAACTTTGGACCAGTAGACTGAGTCATGGAGTTACTGATAACTGAAGGCAAGATTCAACCATCTAGATTAGACAGGGGTGCCAGGAATTTGGGGCCCCATGAAAGACATTGAGATTGGGCCCCACACAAATAAACTGTATGTAAGCTTTTTAACTGCTGTAAGGATGCATTGATTTGTTTCATTCATGTAAAATGACATGCGTGTGGCATGACGGGGGGACCTGATGAGATGCAGGTTGGGGTTTTGGTCAATATATTCATGCTTTGTTTTGCTGTTTACTGCTAAAAAATGAGGGAGAACACAAAATGATTTATTTCACTGCTGCTGCAGTGAGGTGGTGCTCTGGGTCATGTGACCTGTTCAGTGACAGATCTGACCCTTTCGGGTTACATAGGAAAGCATTAAAGAGGAGCAACATGCAGAGCGGTACACTAAATGAAAGAATGAAAATAAATAGTGCATCTCTATTCTTCAAGGTTCCTTTGATTCCACATTGGAGGTATAATGTTTTAAAGTTTTATTCATAACAATTGAGCAAAATAGAAAGCAGAAACTATTTACAATAATACTTTGATGATTCCACAGATTTATGCTGGTTTTGATTTTGCATTCCACCCCTACTGAGCAATGGCTGCAGCCAAGGCTACTACGGTAATCTCTTAATGTTACATTTATCCTTTTTGGCTGTTGCCTTTCAAAGTTCTTATCTCAACCTTGATATCTGCCTTTGGTTGTAAGGCTTCATGTTACCTTTGATTTGCATCCGTCACATCTGCACAAATTCCAAGTTGCTGGTTATTGTAGTATTGTAATTCTATCCCACAAACTTATTTTCATTTTTTTTAGGTTATTGCCTTTAAAAAATAATTGTGTGAAAATTTGAAATAAAAAATAAATGATTATGGAATGACTAAGGAATTGCTTTTTTGGGAAGAGTGCAAGTTTATGTAGCAAGAGGTGCAAATTGACCGAGAAATTAATTTGGGTAAATTAATTCAATTAAGCTGATAAACGGCTCAGAAGTTATGTTGTAAGGTCAAAAAGTGATTTCCTGTTAAAAAGCAGAACTTATAGTCTCATCATTTACGACAGGTCTTGAAGCAAAAGAGAAACCCCAGATCATCACACTGCCACTACCGTGCCCAGCTGTTGGTTTCATGTATTTTTTAATGAAATGTCTTTATCTCTGAGATGTTTTCCAAAGATTTCACAGATCATCAAGGTGCATGTGTGGCCTGTCTTTGTGTTTCCTTTGATCAGCAGTAGTTTTTACCTTGATACTCTCCCATAGAGGCTGGTTGAATTGTTAAAAACTAAAGTAAGAATATAAAGATTTTTTTGTTTTGGCTAAGTTGAGAAAAATGGTTTCAGTGTTAGAATGATTAACTCCATCCTGCTGTTTTCAGGTCTGCCTGTTGGGGGAGTCACAGACATTGTTTAAATGTGATGACAGCAGTTAGTTTATTGGAGTGCAGAGAGATCCTGATCACATCTCAGACTGAATCCCAGCAGATCTCTGGGTTTTAAATCCAGCAGCAGCAGCAGCAGACGGAGGTGGAGACAGGAATGTTTCACCCAGCAGTGCTTCTGCTGTTCAGGGTCTAATCTTGACAAACCAAGTGAAAAAAGACAGTGAGACAATCCCTTTTGTTTTGCTTGCCATGAGCTGCTGTACCTGCCTGAACATGACACATCTGACTGAACCGGAGAACGTTCTGGCTGTAAATCCCTCACAAAGAGCCTGGCTGCTCTGCTGTTCACAGTCAGGTTACAGAGAAACCCTGCAGCAATGCAGGCAGGGGCAGAGCTACCAGCAGACCTGGATTGGTCTTTATCTCTAAAATATTTATATCTAAATCAGAAAAAATGTTCTGATGAACTCTATCACTGTTTCTTTGCTACATGACGCCCCATGCAGGGAAAAGGTGACTTTTTTTAAGCTTTTTCTCATATTTACCAAACTCTACACTGAAGGCAACATGCTTGTTTTTCCTCAGGGGAGTTGGAATGTACTGGACACTTAAAAAAAACAAACATTTATTTAGTCAAACTGAAAAACCTGATCAGGAAAGAGTGACTAAATATCAGTGCAGTGAAATACTCTCTGTATTTTCTCCAAATCAAAGCTGCTGGTAAGTGAAAGTTAACTTCTGATCCAGTAACAATTTAAGCCAGAGCATTTTTTTAGGCTATCTATTTGTTGCTCTGTATGATTTCATCCCTTTTTCTTTCATCTCTTTGCAGGAAAACAAAAAGAACTGATTGTTTTGTGCTGGAAGAGCATAAAACCAGCTGTGGACCACAACCAGAAGTCTTCCTTTGTCTGCAGGTATTTGTAATATCCTGAGGGCTGATTCAGGGTGTGTCCCACAGGTTCACAGCTGAAGCTTCACTATCTGAGGATCTGTGAGCAGCTATAGAAAGAACAGCAGCAGCAGGTCTATGAGGCTGACCCATGAACATGTTCTAACGCATTTAATCCACAATCACTTAAAAACAAGCTGCAAACAATGTTTAATAATCCAACCATATACTCCATCGCTCGCTCACTTGAATTAATCACCATAAAGAGCAAAATACATGAATAAATTCAGAAAAAAACATAATAAAATAATCTGATTCATACATTTTTTTATGAAAACATGTATCTATGCTAGTATTACTAATTTATGAATGTTCTAATTAATAATTGTGACTATTTACATTATTGTTTTTTATTGTTCTAGTAATTGTTGATGTTTTAATTTATTATTTAGCTGTTTTTAAATGCTGTAGCAAACGCTGCCATTAATTACTATTAAAGTAACCATTACAGTAATAATTCATTTTAGGCGGAAATAGAAGCAGCAGCAGTGAATTTTCTCAGATTATATTAGATTGTCCTGAACACATGAGAGGGGCCAATAGGGGCCAGACTGAGGGCCACTAATGTTTCCATCTACTGTCTCTTTCATGCGACCTGAAGACATAAATGAGGCGGAGAAATGTCCCTGGAGGGTTTTTATTGAAGGCATTTTGATCGAGGGCGGGGTCTGGATCCCCCCTCCCCAGCCTGTTTCTCAGCAGCTAGTCTGAGTCTGGATCAGAGCTGAGTTTGATCATCTCTGGCCGAGGTGTGATGCGGCTGTAAGAAATGTCCTGTTTCCTCTGCTCTCCGTGGAGGTGTGTGCTGAGTGTCACAGTGGGCGTCTCTGCGTGAAGCGCAGCCTCCTCCCAGCCAGGCCACTCCCGGGAAGCGCGCCGCCCGCCTCGCGCACTGACGGACGGACGGACCGTCCCCGCTGCTCTTCCTCAGTGCGCCTCGGCCGTAGTTCCTGCGCGCATCTGTCCTCCTGGCTCCTGGTTGTGGATGAAGGCATGTGGGAAGGACTGTGACGCTCCGAGCAGCATGTAGCACCTGGAGCTGCCCTCCTCCTCCTGCTCCTCTCGGCTCTGCGTGTTCTCCACCTCCCGGAGCGCTCATTCCTCCGCTCGGCATCGCCTTCAGCGGGATTTTTTATTAGTTTTTTTCTTACGGGGATCTTGTTGGGGGTGGGTGGGGGTTGGGGGTGCTCAGGCCTGTTTTTAGAGGAGTGAGTCTCCATCCCTCAGCACCTCCCGGTCGATGGTCGTAGAGGAAGCTTCCATCTTGAGCAGCGCTTCTACAGTCGGAACCATGGCGAGCGACTCCCCGGCGCGGAGTCTGGATGAGATAGACCTGTCTGCACTACGGGTAAATATCTTCCTGCCCGCGTGCGCGTGTAGAGGTGTCCTTTCCTATGTGTGCGCGTGCATGTGCAACACCTGTCCCCCCCTGCTCCCCTCCCCTCCCTCCATCCTCCCTCTCCTCTCTCAGGATGTGTCTCCAAATGCGCTTTCCTCTCCTCGACCTGTAGCGAGCACGCGGAGGCTTTAATCTCAGATGTGCGCGTGCATGATGAGATGTGTGGGAGGTGTGTGTGTGTGTGGGGTAAAGAAGCAGTGCGCGTGTAAAGCGGACATTGATTGAGGAAATAAGGTCGGTGATCAGAGATATCAGTGTGGGATCACTCAGCTGCTGCTTCTGGTTCTGCTTAACAATTGGGACGTGATGTAATGAGGCCCTGAGCTGCTGCTGCTGTGTGCGCGCGCGCGTGCACCACCCCGCACTCTCGCGGCATCATAAACGCGGCTCTTGTCTGCACTATGTGGGGCAGATGTTAAAAGCCGCTCACTGACACTTTGCACAAAGCCATCGGATGCACGCGCACTCTCCAAAACACGCGCGCGCTCTACCTCCTCTCCTGTTCTCTCTCTCAATCATTCTTTCTTTTTTCCTCGTGCACACGCTCATTTGCACGCACGCGCCCTCACCGCGGGAGGGGGGTGGTGGGGGGGATAACAGCGATTATAACCGCAACAGGAGCGAGTTCCGCCATTTCGTGATGTTGTGGCGACAGCAGCCTTTTGGGTTGATTTTTTTTTTTTTCTGTATCACAGCGGCTGTTTGTGCACGCTGACAGGAAGTGCAGTACCGGAATGTGCGCGTGCACCCAGGCATGCATGTCAAAAAGAAAACTGACTACAGTTTGTTACAGGTCACCCTAAAAGGAGGCGCGTCATGGCTGAATGAAGCATGTCACATGGATGTGCCCCCCCCACATCTCTATCCTTTCCCAGCTGCTTATGCAACTCAGCTGTACCTGCAGAGCAACCATCAAGTCTGGACATGAGCGGCGGGGTGGGACTGAACCTGAGCGTGTCTGTAACGCGCTGAAAGGCGTGGGGGTGGGGGGGTGATAGAGACAGAAAGATGTGAGGAAGAGGTTTCTGTGCAGCCAGAACCTGTTCTTTCTCCATCAGTGGAGTTCAGAGCAGAAATTGGGTCAGAGAGAAAGAAGGGTTGGTGGGCGGTGGAGGGGGTGAGGGAAGCTTTTTGCCACACTTCCTGTTTCTGTGATGGCCTCCTCTCCCACCCTGTCTGGAGTCTTCATGGTCCACACTGGATGTTTAAATGCTGCCTGTCAGGGTTTATAAATAGCTGTCTGACTGTCACATATAGGAACAGGATTGTGTTATATCACCTGGTGAATCATTCTGGAGGAGAATCCTCTCATGCAGAGCCTAAAGTGTTATATGAGGCCAAAGCAGAGTGTTTCATGAGGTGTTTTATAATATATTCACATCATTGCAGCTTTTATGTTTTTCTAAAGCTACATCATAAACATTGTGTATTTTATATCACAGAGCAGCAGAGAATAGCACAAACTATGGGGCAGTGTTGCACTTTTCATTTTTCAACCATTCGTCTTTGCAGAGGAGCCCAAACTCAGGTACATTCAGTGGCGAACATCTGTAAACATCTGTTCTGTCTTACCATAGACTCCCAGTTGTCAGTCTAGCTATGCTAATATATCTATAGCTCTGGGTTCCTTGTCTTGCCCCAGGCTCATCCTCTGTGGCCTAAAGGGCAGATTATTCTTCTGCAAACGCTCACATCAAATGTTGCTTGGGTCACGAACCAGTTTTTTGCTATAATGCTTCTGCACCGTCGGTCTGGAATTTCTAGGGATGAACAGCCGTTTCCCGCCGAAGCGCAAGGGGGAGCATATTGGAGAACTCGCGAGAACTTCTGTGGATGGTCATGAGAACTTCGTTTTTGCAGAGACCTTGGCATCTTTATATAATTTGTCTGAGGCATTGTACAAGTGGTTGTACTTCCAAACCTTCTCGATTAACCTTTCGTTTTAGTTGTCCATTGTAGTTGTTCTTCGGTTTTTAAAATGGCGGGTTTGCGACCATTCAACGCGTAGTCAGAATTTTTTTGAGGTGCCCCACGGCGGGTGCAGAACCTCTGCGTGGGGGGCGTGGTTGCGCACAGAGACAGATTTGACGGTTGCAGAGGCTATGCGTCAGAAGCATAAATTGGCCTTGGATAAAATTCCCCTCAATCTTTTCATTAACTCTGTCCAGTTTCTTTATTCCTGTTGAAAAGAAGCATTCCCCACAGCATTATGGTGCCACCACCGTGTATCTCTGTAAAGATTGTGTGTTCAGCTTGACCATTTTTTTTGGTTTGATCAGACATCAGCCACCATTTCTGCATGTTTTCTTTAGAATAGCTAGTAGCAAACTGCTAATAAGTGTATTTGTATTTTAGGGCTAAAACAATCAAATTAGTCATCATTAATCGATTATTGAAATTATCGTCAACTAGTTTAGTTATCGATTAATCGTTTACTGGAGTACAGAGACTGTTAAACATGCCTTTAGCTGACAGAGCGACCCACTTAGAGCAGTAACTAGTTTTTTTTTCTCCAGTGGAAATTTAGAAAAGCTTGTAAAGACAGAGTGGTCTTCTGTTTACGGTAGATGTCAGCTTGATAAGAATTTTTTTTTTTTTCTGGACCAAAAAAAAAAAAAAACAAGCTAATTTATTTCCAGAGGTTAGATAAAGAATTTAAATCCTTTAAATCAGTGAATCCCTCAGTCATGTGAGGTAAACACATTTTCCTTGAACCCCAGTCAGCCTCAGCAGATGGCCGCTCACACTGAGCCTGGTTCTCCTGGAGGTATCTTCCTGTTAAAAGGGAGTTTTTCCTCTCCACTGTCGCTACAAGCATGCTTAGTGTGAGGGATTGCCTTTGAGTCAATGAGTCGATGCAATCACCTGTTTTTTCTTAGATAGAAAAACCTTGAATCAATTTCACTGGATGATCTGGTGAACCGCATGTGTTGTGAATTGGAGCTATAGAAATAAACTGAATTGATTTGAAATTAATTTTGCACATATGAACAACAATAATGTGGCTTTACCTACAATATTGGAAACACAATGAGAAAAAAAAAACATTTAGATATATTCAAAACTGAAAACATCTAAACTAAAAAAAATGACCAGAATGAATAATCTAGTTATAGCTGAATGGCTAGCTAATTGTGCTGGACTAGTTAGCTTCTTAGCAGTTTTAACTTTCTAAATTAGTCCTTAGTAACATTTTAATAAATCTTCTTTAAAGCCCATGTCATAGATATTAGAGTGTTTGTGAGACAACTGAGGAGCCTAACGTCCCGCTTTAACGTCTCAACTTTCTATGCCAGCGTCCTGGTGGCCGTCGCGCATCTCTTCTTTGGTTCTTGTGGTAAAATGAACAGCTGTATGGCAGCCTTGTGTAAGGCCATTAGCATCGATAAGCCTCACGCTTGGCTACCCTCTGGTGATCATTTATCAGATTTAGGAGACTGACTTTGCTGAGCTAGCGAAAAAGCTTCTGAATTCTAGTTTACTAATATCCCAGACAACCTAAAATATTGCCAAATTTTGTTACATTTGAATTGCTTATTTTGCATTCATTTTTAACTAGCATATTGTCGTAAAAAACAGGTTCCATTTTGCTGAAGAAAAAAGTGATTTTTTGTCATTTTGATAATTTTTTAATGCATGTTATTTCTCATATTCAGTCCACATGGTATTGAGTTTCGAATATTTTCCTGAGTATTGATAGTGAGTTTGAATTTTAGTATGATGATGACTCACTAAATCGTGTAATATTATCTACTCTCTTCAGACATCTTGTCATGATATGTGTTTTCTAGCTGCTTTCAAAGTGGCAGCGCACTAAAGCTGTAGCTGTGGGGAACACCAAGGATAATCGGTGTTTACGATAATGCAATTTTCAGAAGTTCCTGTAGGGGAGCCCCACCTACCTAGAGCTGCTAACAAATCCAAAAACAATGTTACGCTACAGTACACAGACAATTGTCCAGCACTAGGACTGTCTTTTCTTTATGACTGGATGTCACCGCTGTCACTCCTGAGAAGCTCACTACAAACATTTGATGCACCACTGAATTGGGTCTGTGATTGGATGGTCAAACACACTGAAGATAGTTAGATTAAAAATACTTGTAAAATCAAAATTTCATCCATGTAAGTATATTTATACACACACACACACACACATATATATATATATATATATATATATATATATATATATATATATATATATATATATATATATATATATATATATATATATAAGGGTCTTGCTCAGAAAGCCATAGTGGCAGTCTGTGTGTCATGATCGATTTAAGAGATCTGACCCACATGCAGAGAACCACTCAGAGAACCAGGGGGAAAGTTTAACAGGTTTCTTGAGAAGAGAGTACAGGAGTTGAATCAGGAACTCAGAGAACTGGTGAACCAGAACTGGAAAGTCTGGAGAGGAGATCACAGTGATCAGTTCAGGGCGGAGTCCTAGTTCTGTGGAAGCGGGACTCACGTTTGAGGGGGTTCTTGTTTTTTCTTTTATCCAGTTGGTGTGTAGCCTCGTGAGACCATCCTGATCTCGCGAGCTTTCAAGGTTTCACTCGCAGATCAGTCTGGAGACTCTCCGTTTAAGAAAATTTGGAGCCGTTCACCAAACGAACGTCCAATCAGCGTTGGCTTTGAGGTGGGTTGAGGTGTGACGCAACGAGAAGCGCAACAGTTCAGTCTAAAGAACATGGCGGCTTCAGCCGATGAAACTAGCGTTAGCGTGGCTATCCAGCAAGTTTTATCGGAAAACAGAGTATTTCTTCAGTGAAAGAAGAGCAAAAAACTGCTCTGGAGGCTTTCCAGATGGATATGCGGAGCAAATTCAGCAAATCCATCTGGCGGAGTCAGGTTAGTTGGTGTGGGTTTATCCAGAGAAGAGGTAACTCGTTGGAGAGCGGATAGGTAGACATTCGTTGGACCCTGAGGAGCAATGG